TCAAATTCCATTCGTTATATTTGTGTAATAAAAATACTTAGATTGTAAGTTTTGGGGATTTAAAGAATATATGTGTTTGCCAATCTATCTGTATCAATATCTTCTAAGACACCACAATTTATTACTGGGTTCCAGAAAGGTGGTGCCAATGGCAAGTGGTATGTTAAAATACTAGTTTTGATATAACTTAGTGAAAGAACACTTTATTAGCATGCATAAGACATTTTTCTCAGTCACTGTCAAAGTCACAGCAAAGATGATAAATAAGTAGATGGATAGATAGATAGATAGATAGATAGATAGATAGATAGATGTAAAAGTAGAACTTATTGCTTCCTAGTCCATGTTCAGAGCCAAGTACGAATCACAGCATCTATTGTCCTGTCTTCTTTCCATTGTTTAGAAACAAATGGATATTCCCTTGTGACCAAAGGGCCTTCTACCCATACCTGAACCCCGAGATTCTTTAGCACACAGTATAGAGTTGAAGATGTCTTCAAACACTGATAGAATAAAGGAATACAGTTACCTTTCCTTTCCAAAGCTGGCATCCTCATTGGATGGCACACCTGCACAAGTCATAGAAGGCCTAGCCCATCTGTTGCCTCCAACAACTGTATGTCTGTGTGGCTAGTTATAAAAGACTATCCAGAAGTCTGGCAGGTCTTGAAGAGAATCATAGAGTGATCTAATAGAAAGCTAAAGAGTGCATTGACGTGTCCTCTTCCATATCCATCACAATCTCACACAGCACCAATGACCTATTTACCTAAAACCAATACGGGTGAAATTTAACTCTATCCTGCTGTGGAACAATCCCTTTGTACATTGTGAAGATTTGTTACTGTGATTGATTTAATAAATGAGCTGCCTGGCCAATAGCTGAACAGGATAAGATTAGGTGGAAGAGCCAAACTGAGACTGCTGGGAAAGAGAAGGGTGGAGCCAGAGGAGTCACAATCCAGATGCAGAGGAAGCAGGAGATATAAATGTGCTATGCTAATAAATGTACCAACATGCAGAAGAGTATAATTAGGGAATATGGGTTAACTTTAAATATAAGAGTTAGCTAGTTACAAGTCTGAACAATCAGACAAGCATTTGTAATTAATATAAACATCTTGAGTGATTATTTGGGACTAGGCAAACTGTAAATACTGTAAATGTTCATTTACAGTATCCCTTCAGTTAATTCGATATTTAAAAATGCTTTTAGATACAGGAAGGGGAGCATTTTAAAACACGCAATAGTGCTTGTTGTCTTACAGCACCTGTCCTGAACTCTGCACATCTTCAGAAGAGTCAGTTAGTTCTTGCCCTGATGTTTTCCTATGAACACAGCTGGGGCCATTTCAGTATCCAGAAATTTCTTTGGCAACCGACTTAGGGAGGGGTGGAAAGTGAAATGGAAGAGACCTCTGGAAAATCTTTAACACTGGGGTGTATTCTCTTTCTAACTGACTCCAAGGAGTTTCCACTCATGGAATCTGGCCTATCATAAAGAACTTTTCTCTTCTGTACTTGTTTCAACTTAATAAATAGTGTCAAACAACCATGATGGATGGCTAGAGGATTTTACAATACACAACAACCTTCATAGCTAGACTCCAAAGTTCAAGATTTCTGCCACTTGCCCCCCTCCTGGGCCTGGTCTTCTAGCTCAGCTGGAACCTCTTATAATCCTTCCTTGAAACCAGTTCTTTTTCCTGAATGCCTAGGACATCTTCTATGCATTCCTCTTTTAGTTGCCTTTGTTGACTAATTTTCTGACTAAAACAATCCCTTAAAGGTTATTTCATTGTAAAATTGTAAAGAAAGTCGCATTTGCTGCTAAAGATAAATACTAATTTGAAAACACTGGAACCAGTAAGATTTAGAATGGTCAGTTTTTCTACCCTTTTTGAAAAAAAAAATCAGTGCTTCCTACTAAATTAATGATACATTATATGAGATGGTGAAAGAAGGAGAAGTGTTTGTTTTGCTTACATCCACAGTTGTCTGTGTGCTGTCTTACTGTCACACTAACCACTATTCAATCTCTATGAAGTTGCATCCAACAGTTTACATCTCTAAATCTTTTTAGATAGCACTCTGTCCAAAGTCTATGGTTCTCTTTCTAGATGTCATCCAAGGTGGGGTCTGACCCCATGCAAAGACTCTTGTCCTCTAATAATTGTGTTTATTTTGTTCCCTACTAGGCATATGCACCACAGTCTCCAGCCTTATTCTTCATAGTCACTCAGTCAGAATTCTTGCAGTTTTGCCTCACTTCCTATCTATCATGACATTGTTCTTTCCATATCTACCTCCTTATAAAGAAAAAAGTTATTATTGTTCTGTGACTTCTAATTTTTTAAAAATAGTAGAAATTAGATAATAAATGTATTTCATAATCCAAAACTAGAAAAAACAATAAAGCATAAAACATTTTTACTTTTTAATAAAAAATTTATTGATGCTATGTCCATTTAGATGGCTATTAAATTGCCCTCTAAATTCACCTGTATGCATAAATTAGAGCAGCTCTCAGACCATCAGAGAAATGTCCTTGTGCAGTAGATAATTGTATACAAAGAAACTAACTTGTGGTCAAAGTACAGAGAATAAGTGTCAGTGTGGAGTTTGACTACAATGGGACCTCTAGATCATTCCCCTTTTCAAGGGTTAGGAACTACCTCAGAAGATGGGAAAGAAAGATTGTAAGAGGCAGAGTTTTGGAGAACCAAAGTAAACAATGTCTTCTGAGATGACAGGATGGCTGTACTCAATGTTTTCACAGCAGCTACAGTTGTCTACACAAGACCTGCATAAGGGCAAGCCACTGAGCAATCTAGCATGGATTTGAGCCCCTTCCCGCCAGGAGTTATGGAAAGTTGATAAGTTTCTGGTGGAGAGAATCAGTTTTCCTCAGAGTTTGGCTTTTGGTAGGTTGACTACATCCCTCTGGACAGTCACACACCCAGAAGTGGATGGGCAGGACAAATTGGAGTCAGTTGCTTATAAAAATTAATGTGACAAAACATGAGAGGGTAGGAGTAGATCTGGATACTGTCATAAGGAGGAGTAGGAGGTGAAATTCTCCAAGAACTAATGAAAATATTTGAAAGTAAAATAAAATTTATTGAGCGTAATTTGAATGATGTTCACTTCATTATGGACAACACAGTGTTCAGCTTTATTACAGCTTGATGAATTGTTGTGTTACTTTCTCAGTTTGGATTGGCCTCCAACTATCTTCTTTGTTTTCAAAGTCATGAAATACCTCTGAGAATGGCTTTAAAGTTATATCTTTTCAAAATCTTAAGCCTTTCTTAAGCCAGAAACCTTAAGCCTTTGCATCACAGCTTTTTCATTGTGTATTTCTAAGTCTGCCTTTTAGCCATCTGGAGTCACTCAAACTGTGTTGGTATCTTCTAACAGCTCTTTCTTCCATAATTCAATTTACATTCAATTTGAATTTCAGCTCGTGTTCTTTGAGAAATAAAACCAACAGGATGTATAAATGCAAAGTTCCAACAATAGTCTTTAGCAATCACAATTTCACTAAATAAAACCAATCTAAAATATACCTCTCAGATTTTGATCAATGGTATAAATAATTATAACCAATTGTATAAATTAGAATACACATTTCTTCTTTATTTTACCTTCATCCAAAGTTATAGGTGCTGGAGAGATCAATGGCCAAGGTCCTTCCTTGTTCAAGTTCAAAAGCTTGAGAATGAGGACTGCTTGTTATCTAAGGGCAGGGAAGAATGGATAGCTTAGGTAAATTTCCCTGATTCTACTTCTTCATTGTATTGTATGATTTTTACCTACATTGATGAGGATGATCTGGTCTTTACTTGGTTTGCTGATTCAAATGTTGATATCAGACACATTAGAATGTTTTTGCCAGTTTTTCGACATTGTTAGTTTCTCAGAGCTGACTTGCAAATCTAACCATCACAGAGTTCTAGTTCTCAGCTTTTATTGTTTTATATTCCTTCATTCTTGTGGCACTTCATCTGTTGATAAATTTCTCCTTTTAATGAGCCATTTTGGGAAATGTTAATATGTTAGTCAGTAGAAAACAAGAAACAACTACGTACTTTTCTGTCAGGCAGTGTGAGACTGAATTAATAGATAAATGATAACAAGTCACTGGAAAACTTAAGAAAGTTATTTGACTGGTCTGGTCATGATTCACATATGTTACAAATAGCAATTTGTGGGTTAAAAGTATATGAAAAAGGTCCCTAACTTATACAATTCCTTATAACTATTATATGATGGTGGTCAAAATACATTTGGATATGTTTTAGAGGATTGATATGAAAAATGGTGATTACTAAAAACTGTGTTATTGGAACTTTGCTAACAAAGAATGACCCGATTTTTACAAGGGCAAAAGCTTCCCTTTTGAACTTTCATGTTTCTAATTTACCTGATACTTACTGGTCTGTATTTTGGTCTAGTATGGCTACTTCCTTTTTCGATTTAACCACACAAGGACTTCATAGTATCTTATACACATTCTTCCCCATAAACCATGGTGAAACATCCTAATCATTTTTATTTTTGGCCAAAGATATTGGCATCAGGGAGAGTATATATTTCTGAATTGTGCTGCAGCACTGGAGGGTTAAGGCTACTTTTTGTCACATATGACAATTTCTTTTTTAAAAAAAATTTTATTAATTTATTTTTTTACATTTCAATCCCAGTTCACCCTCCCTTTTCTCACCCACTCCCCCCCAACCCCCCACCTCCCATCTGCTCTTCAGAGAGGGTAAGGCTTCCCTTAAGAAGTCTACTAAATCTGTCCCATCATGTCATTGAGGCAGGACTAAGGCACCTCTCCACCCCTCATACCCCTGTGTCTAGGCTGAACAAGGTATCTCTCCAAATAGAATGGACTCCCTTAAGTCAGTTTGTGCATTAGTGTTAGATCTTGGACCCACTGCCAGTGGCCTCATATATTGTCCCATCCACACCATTGTCACCCATATTAAGGGAGTCTAGTTCTGTCTTATGCTGGTTCCCCATTTGTCAGACCTGATTCAGCGATCTCTCACTAGTTCAGGTCAGCTGATTCTGTGGTTTCCCCCATCATGGTCTTGACTCCTTTGTTCACATTTTCTCTCCCCCCTCACTTCGATTGAACTCTAGGAGCTTGGCCCAATAGTTAGCTGTAGATTACTGCATCTGCTTCCATCTGTTTCTGGGAGAGGGTTCTAGCTTCTCTGGGGTTGTGGATTGTAGAGTATCTTTTGCTTTATGTCTGATATCCACCTATGAGTGAGTATGTACTATATTTGTCTTCCTGGTTTTGAAGGCAATTTCTATAGAAGGCAAATTTGAAGATGCTGGATATTTCTGGATGTCCTGAGTGACAGCCTCAGTGAGATGGTTCTGCAAATCTGTTCTATTGTATTGTTGGTCATCTTCTCAAGATCCTCTCTCTTTTATGTACTGTAACAGTGAGCTTTACAGAAACATCCCAAGGGACCGAGGATTTATTTTGACTTATGTAGTAACGGCCAGTGCTACAATATTTCACGGGTTCCAGCGGATAGTTTGCATACTTGCATACAGGCCTAAGAGGAAAAGGAGGGAACAAGGAAGTGAATGCCTAGTCTCAAGGCAGACAGAGAACACCAAGGGCACCGTAAGTGAACCAGCAGGGTCTCAACAGGAACACCTAGTCAAGAGGTGGACAGCGAACCCCAAGGCCATCGTAGGTCACCCCACAAGGTCCCAACAGACAGTGTCTAAGGATTCATTCTGTCATGGAAGAGAGGATGTGACAGACAGAATGATTTACATCATGATATCCAGGAAACAGAAAGTGTGGTACCTGTGCTCTACTTTCTTCACTGCCCCTCCCATTCTTCTTGACCTCTCAGCCCATATGATAGTATCACCATCATTCAGAGTTAGTCTTCTTCCTTTTGCAAATCTCCAGATAAACTCTCACAGACACCTTCAGAGGTCCTAGGTGACTATAACTCCAGTGAAGGTACATGCAGAGATTACCTACACACCACCAAACAGCAAGACTTGGAGAGGGAGGTTCAATGTTGAAGTCTTAAGGTATAACACCTCCGAGTGCTTCTCAAACTTGCTTTGTAGGCAACTCTATAAAGAGATGTCTGATGGTGGATTCATCTGCTATCTCTCAAATACGAGCCTAGGAAGAGTATTTTCACCTTGGTTACTCACCCAATGATACTTCTCTCCTTGACACTGCTACGGTAAGACACCACCATCTAGTTTTTATAGTTCCTTTGTTGGTCCCTAAAAAGTAGGACAATATTTTTATTTTTCCCTCTTAAAACTTTTTCAGTGAGTAAAAGATGAATAAACAGGGAAGGCAGCTTTTTCTGTCTTTTTATTCTCAATGGCTAAAGGAAACTATAATGTCAGTCTGGGCAGCATAGCGAAACAGATGTCAGGTGCTTTCTAAGGCTGGAAGAGTACCTGTCCTTCTGGACTTGTTTTTTAGGACATTTACTCTCAGAAGCCAGCTACTTTCTGTCCTAGAACGATGGCCATATTAGCCTGTATATAGGCCATTCATAGATGACCTAGACAGTGGACCATATGAGGGCCCTACCAATAGTCAGCATGAGCTATCAGATACGATGAGACATCCAGGTGATTCCTATTCCTGGTTGAATTGTTTACCTTGTCATTGTGTCTTCCCACCTGATGCTCTGGGTATGGTTTATTAGACATAAGTAGAGTTATCATCTGTGCCATGGCAAAATGATGATATGAAAAATTTCTAAAAACAAGTTTCTTTTTATGCAGTTTCATGCCACTGAGCTGTGGGTGTTTTGTTACACAGCTATAGTAATAAGAATAGGAATCCTTGGCTCTGAAAGACACATGTAGTTACTTAAGTTGTGAAATAAGTATGCATATGTTCTAAACTTTTCTAACATTCCCACAATGCACTCACATGTGCTCAATAAGATACAATGGAGGAGTACATAGGTGGCTGTGTAACAGGAAAAGTTTGGAAGGTTGTCTAGGCTTTGTATCCTTGATGCCAAGGAGAAGAGTGTGCGGTGTCTTCGCTGTCATCCTTAGGAAGAACACCAGTAGTAAATTACTTTTCACCATCAAAGTCTTTCATATACAACCTTCTCCTGAATCATCCTAGAAATCACACTGAACTAGGAGGCAATATATTTCTACTCTCACCAAACGCTAACAAGCTATAATGACCTTTATCCCATCCCATATAGTGAAATTGTTAACCCTGAAACATGTCTCTCTGAATTCCTACTAGGTGATCCCACTCTAGACCACCCTTCGTTTTCCCATTTTACCTCCTGGTTGTGTTTGAACTGATATACTTAGAGACGAGAGACCTTACTAATCTAAGTCAAGTGAGTTAGCCAAATTATTTGAGCTTTCACAAAGATGGGGACATCTCTAAGCAGCAAATAAGGGTCAGTTCAACTGGCATCTCACCACACAAAACCACAATATTTGTATTAATAATAAGCCAATGACATAGTGGATGAGCCAGGAGTTGTTTGTTTTATTCAACTAAATTCAATACACCATTTCAACTATGCAGATGTATGTACTTAATTTATTCTAATGACCAAGTGCAATGTCATCTGAACTCTTGGGGCAGAGTTACTATCTTCAGAATAGATTGCCCTCTAAACAGGCTCTTATAGAAATTGGTTTAGGTAAGTCTCTCAACCATCAAAGTTTTAGAATTATATTCATATAATAATTCTTAGGGAAAAAAGAGCTAAAGTTTCTCTTGTGGATAAACTAAGGACCAAAAGGTTATTTCCTACAATCTTATAACCTTAAAAAAGATAGTTTCTGAAAATTAAAAAATACATATTTTGCTCATTTGGGCCTGAATAACTGGATACTAAAAAGAGTGCTGGCACCCCTATCCTTGGAGGGATAAAAAATAAAAAATAACAAAATTACATCTTTGTTATATGAGAAGCCAAAACCGGAAAGCTTCAGACAAAGGTTTTTGTGTTGGCAGCAAGCACAGCCCTTACGGCATCAGATGTCACTGTATCATATGGTATCAATAACGAGTGAGTTACTGCCAGAAAGTCCAAGGTCTGTCCACAGAGGCTCCAGATCCGGATCCTGCTCACAAATCTCAGATGAATGTTCATTCTGAACTCTGGCCAGTTCTATGACCTTTTTGCTGACCTGAAAAGATTTTGCAGCTAGAAGACTCAAATTAGTGTCTGGAACGTCCCTCAAAGTGGCCAAAATATTTTCTTTATGACTGCGGAGCAATTTCCAAGTCATGCTGCTTTCTGTACAGAGCTTTCCAAACTATCGAAATCCACAGTATTTCCCTGTAGAAATTTTGTTTTCAATTTCTGTCTCAATGTTTAAAGTAGGCTCTTTCAATAGGACCACTTTACATACCAATTGATAACCTTATGATAGACCTACTGAATTAGATTACCAGAAATGGAAGCCCATGTTTATAATCTATAATCTTTCAAAAGTCTTTTTTTTTAAGATGGCTGATTCTGAAGCTTTAACTAAAATGATAGAAAGAAAAACAGAACTTACTAGAAGTGATCTTTAAATTCTAAAGGTAAGTTATACAGGAAAAGGAAACACATTGTGTAAGTGGCTGCATAAAGGAACTATGAAATCTAGTGCAGAGGATGAGGACAGCAGTTTTTGGTAGTCAAGTAGTAATTAATTACATGTTATATTTACATATAAATTACTAATATGTAATATATACAAAACAGTAAGAGAAATATTTTTAAATCTATCTTAATTTGAACTTACACTTTAATTAAAATCCCACTTAAAACATCACACTTAGTGGTGAGTTAGTAAAGGGATTGTGTTGGGCAGAGTAGTCATTGTCATGACATATTCAACTGACTGTTATTCATTATTGTTGTAATTCTATTCCCAATGCAATATGATGAATAAAGCACAAATTAGAATTGAACATAATTTTTGACACTGATATAATTTTGGAAAGTAAAATAAATTAAAATTTAGTTAAGGGGACATATAAAGGATAAAATGGGAATTAAAATTTCTCATGAACTATTTTTTTTGAGAGAGAGAGACTGACATACCTTTACTGATAAATGTCATATTGAATAATTTAAAATTTTTTTTATTAGTTCAAGTTAGGGAACAAGCTTGTTTCACATGTAAGTTCTTTCTTCCTCTCCCTTCCCTCACCTCCATCCCTCCTCCCTCACTCCCAACCTACCCCCCACCCCATCCAGCCACCACTCCCCAAGCAGGGTAGGGCCTCAACCAGGGCTCTGTAAAGTCCACCAAATCTTCCTGTGCTGGGCCTGGGCCCTTCCCCATATGTCCAGGGCCAGAGTGTATCCCTTCATGTGGGATGGGCGCTCAAAGCCCCTTCTTACACCAGGGAAAAATACTTATCCACTACCAGAGGCTCCCTGGGATTCAGAGGCCTCCTTATTGACATCCATATTCAGGGGTCCGGATCAGTCTTGTACTGGCCTCCCAGACAGCATCTGGGGTCGTTGTGCTCTCCCTTGTTCAGGCCAACTGTTTCTGTGGGTTTCTCCAACCTGGTACAGACCCCTTCGCTCTTCATTCCTCCCTCTCTTCAACTAAAGTACAGATTTCAACCCAGTGTATATCTGTGGATGTCTGTCTCTGCTTCCATCAGCCACTGGATGAGGGCTCTAGGATGGCATAAAGAGTAGTCATCAATCTCATTTTAGGGGAAGGGCCTTTAGGTTATCCTCTCCACCATTGCCTGGATTGTCAGATAGTGTCATCCTTGTTCCAGAGATCTCCCTAGTTCCAGATCTCTTCTCGGACCTATGAACTGGTTTTAATAGAATTAAATGAATAAAGGCAAAAGTTCTTACTCATATTTACAACTCCAAAATAACTTGATACGTTCTTTAAAAATACTGAGTTTTAACTAATATGTGTAACTGTAAAAATGTTACTTAGATTAATTAATAGGTGAGAGAAATTCTGTGACTTGATAAAACATCCATTATTCACAGAATGATCACTTTGTCCTACTCCAAAGTAAATATGTAAAATCACAATTTAATCAAATAATAAACTTAATGTTTTGAAACCTGAATACTTGTGTCTACATTTCTTCTGCAAGAAGGATGTAAAGTAATGCTACACACTCTCTACTACATTTAAAATAATTACAATTAAGGGGCTAAAATAATTATAGTGTCTAATAGAAAAATGGGTAAAATATGTGAATAGAAAAGTTACAAATAAAGAAAGAAACTGAATTCTTCAAATAAAACTTTACAGGCCAGCAAGATAGCTCAGTGGGTAAAGGTTCTTGCTGAGAAGGCTGGGGATATGAATTTGATCCCTGGAATTTGCAAATCTACACAGTGGAGGGAGAGAGTTAATGCCCACAAGATATCCTCTGATATTCATTCCCACATGCACCATGGCATGATGTGATCACACACACACACACACACACACACACACACACACACACAAGCCCTTTTTTGCTTAATATAATTTCCTTAAAGTAAAGAGTATGCAATTTAGAGTTTGTCATTAGTTCCTTTGCTCTGTTTTGCTCTGGTTGTTAATTTTTAAAATATAAGACATTTTGTGAACTGATAGCTAATGAATGAAAGGAAGAAGTGTATCTGCACTTTAATATATTATTAAACTCTACGTTAATAATTCTGCTTATAGTGAATTTTATTATAAATACACAGAACTATGAAAAGAAGCTTATTACTGTGCAGTGCACACTGGCAACAATTAGAAAACAATTATACAATGTAGCCCTTATCTCAGTTATGTGTCAAGAAACCAAACCAACACAAACAAACTTTTAATTTCTCTTTCAAGACAAAGCCCAATTAGGCACTCCATGGTATATACAATCCTAACAAGAATTCCAGGTTTTAATTTCTCTTTCAAGACAAAGCCCAATTAGGCACTCCATGGTATATACAATCCTAACAAGAATTCCAGGTTTTGTGGACCTCAACCTGAAGCTTCAGGCATCATGTGCTCTTGGACAGCTAGAAGACAAAGGTTGTGGAAGTTCTGTCTCTTGAGTGTGCACTTGGAATCTGCCTTGTGATGTTTCTACATCCTGTTATCCAGAATTCTGCCACATCCAATCTTCTGGTTATAATGGAGAATGGAAGATGTAGTACCTATCCTAGGCATCTGTATCTCTGGATACAGCATCAGAGAGTATATTGTTATGAAAGAATAGGAAAATGGATTTGGAGGGAACCACTGGTAGTTTCTACTGTGTGTCTAAATGACTAGCAATAGAAAAGTAACTCCTGATAATTACACAATGATGTGCTATGCAGTTTCTGTAATACAATAAAGTACTATTCAGTGATAAAATCCTATAATTTGCAGCAACAAGGACTGAAATGGAGGACATTGTATTAAGTGAGATAATCTAGACACAAACACTGCATACATTAATTCGTTTATGAAAGCCGAAAAACTCAATTTGCAGAAGTAGAAAGTAGAGTGTGGCTCACTAGAGGCTAGGTTGGAACAGGGCTCAACAAAAAGGTAATGTATGGAAATGTAACACATTTTTTCTTTAGGGGAGAAGTACCACAACTGTCATCTAAAATTAACATTACATGTCAGAATAACTAGAGGAAATTTCGGAGGTTCTTAACACATGGAAATCAATACTCAAGACAAAAATGTTAGTATCTATAATTTGATCATTGCACACTGAGAGTTATCAAACTATAGCACTGTCTGCCATAACTAAGTACAGATGTTATGTCAGTTAAAAAAGAATGAAGTTTATAATTTTTGAAGCATGTGTGAAAAATACCAGCTTGGATTCAGAAGATATGCAAAAGTAGCTGATTCTACATTATTTATGATAGTCTCAAACTGAAAATATTATAAATGTAACCCTGGACACAGTGAATAAAACTAGGATGTTTATCTATTGAAAAATTATAGGCAGTGAGAATGAAAAAAAAACTGTGTTGCTCCATACAGTACTAATTATGCTTAAATTAAAATTCAGAGTAAATAAGATAGGCAGAAAAAAATGACTGTAGAATTCAACTCACAGCCAAGCACAAATAACCCATTTTAGAAGGATAACAGTCTATGCAAGGGCATTAGTGACCTGGAAGAAACTGAAGGAGTCTGTGATTGGTGGTGCTGTTCTAATTCCTGAGTGGAGCCCTGTGGATGTGGCCCTGTGTGTTGGGGAACGTTCTTCATGTTCTCTACTTTGGACATGCAATTTTTAGCATACAATCTTACATCTCAGTAAAATATCTTTCACTTTTTAAAAAAGAGGAATATTATATTTGATCTCAAATTCCTAATGCTGTTTCCCAAATTCTCAAGTGTAAGGAGTACTGCTGTGAACCACCACATTTGACTCACATTCAACACCCTTAAAATAACTATCCCTGCTTATGACTTAGTTTTTCATATTTCTCTTGAAATTAAAAAAATAACTAGATCCATATGCAATCCATGAGCACCTGTCTTGGGGTTTCTATTGCTATGAAAAAACACTGTGACTAAAAGTAACTTGGGTAGGGAAGGGTTTATTTCAGCTTATACTCCCACATCACAGACCATCCCTAAGGGAAGGCAGTGTGGGAATTCAGATAGGACAGGAGCTTGGAGCCGGAACTGATGCAGAAGCCATGGGATAGTGTTGCTTACTGGCTTGCTCCTCATGGCTTGCTCAACCCACTTTGTTATAGACCAGGATCACCAGCCCAGGCATGGCACCGCCCACAGTGATCTGGGCCCTCCCACATCAGTAATCAATCAGAAAAATGTACCACAGGCTTGCCCACAGGCCAATATGGTGGGGGCATTTTCTCAATTGAGTTTCCCTTTTCTCAGAAGCTTGTATCAGGTTGATATAAAACTAGCCTGACGAGCAGCTTAAGGTAACTAAATACAAATTTGTTACGTGATCCAGAAAGGTGTTTAGTATATATTTTCTGTAGCCTTAAATGTCCCATAGATCATAAGAAGTCTCATTACCAACTACTAAGAGACAACTAAGAGTTATCAACAATAAATTTCTATACATAAAATTCTTTGCCTACAATAGTTAGTAGTTTTCATTTAAATACAGATATTAGCATGACATTAACAGTCAACTTTCCAAGATGATACAGGAAGGTCATTCTGTACACAAGGCAGTGGTCTTGATAATGATAAAAGCAGGTAGAAAGCATAAACATGCTACATATGCAAAGAAACACTGTACTCTATGCATCTGAAAACTATTCACAAACAAGCTGGAATTTTCTTCTTTACCTGTGAAGGTGAAAGTTCAACTTCTCTGCAGGAACAGTAAGGAAGCAGTTATGATCCAGAAAACATGGCTTCTAAGATGTGAAATCCACTTGTGAGCCCAAGAAACACACAGACAATGAGTTCTTAACCTTAGAGCCCCTGTCCCCACAATTGGCAGATATATGAAAATGCTCTAAAAATGTAAAGGAAACTGTATGTGACTCATGCAGAGGAATAGCTTTTCAAAAAAGCAGGATGAGTGAAATTCAAAGAAGAGAAGATGTCAGCCAGTCTGTCAGGGTTTGGGGAGCATCAGGGGTAACAGAGAACAAAGTTTCAAATGAACATGAGCTTCCCCAGGGACAGAAAAACCAGTTTGCTTTGGGAAGAAGCCAGCTTAAAGATCATGGGAGTCCTCCAGAGTTCAGTGGAAAGACAGTGGGGGATTGAGCAAGGAATTAATGACTTATGAACAAGACTAATCTTGAGACTATGCACCTCACTCATGACCTTCTCAACATCCTTTCAAACAACAAGTCTACAATTGCTGAAAGGTGGTCAAGGATCTGAAGATCAGCCTGTAGGGCATTGATAGTATATATGGCTAGAAGACAGGCAACTCTGCCTTCCATTTGCCAATAACCAAGCCATCTAACACAACTGTGTTTGGGGAATTCATAGTTCACATTAGTGCAAACTGTGCCTCTGTGTGAGTCTTTTGTCTACATGACATAAGGGACAAATGTTCCTTCATCTCAGAACTTAAGCACTCCTGAAAGAAGCTGAGAACTTAATAAAATAATAAATACCAGTTTCTCTATAGTGGCCTTCTTTTTACTCCCATTAAAGCTAGGCATTCTATTTTGAGACCTTATAAACTGGTGGAGAAATCTTCCTGATGAGACCACTTTCTACTCCCCAGAGGTCTTACTTTGTCCTTTATTTCTCTAGCATCTTCAAACCAACTACAGCTTACTTATTTTAGCAAGATGAAGTCATAGTTAAGAGACATGGTGACAGGGAAGGACAGTGAAGGAGCTCTTTGATTTGCTGGTGATGATTTTCTGCCTCCTGAGCAGAGCACTGGTACTTTGATGGGCTAAAAAGAATAATTCTGAGACTATATACAGGGTTCCATGACATTCTCCTCAACTTCTTTCTGAATAGAAAACCCACTATTGCTAAAACTTTGTGACAGTAGAAAAACAAG